GTTGAGCTGGGATGAAAGTGGCAAGCCCAAGTGCGAAAAGTGCAAACAGACTGTGACAGTCTCTGGCACGGATGCAAGCCATGCATTCCATCTCCGAGAGGCAGAGAAGGAGCGCCGAGCTGCTGGAAAAAGGGGTGATAAAGGTGAAAGCCGAGGCTCAGGCCAAGCTGCACCGAAACCCAAGGCCATGCCGAAGGTGATTGAACGGATGGTCGACGTGTTTCCGGAGCTGGCGGATCCAGAGCCGCCGAAGTGGTTCGGTGATGTGTCATGGAGTATCTGCCGGCGCGGAACTCCAGTGGATGAGCTAGAGCTCAAGGACGTGGTAGGCACGCTATCCGACAAGGATATGTTGCGCTATCAAAGCTCATACGAGAATCTGGTGAAGCCCATCCAGGAGGTGTGTGAGCTACAGGAGAAACCCACGAAGATCTTCGGAATCTTGGATGTCCGTGGACAGATTGGTGGCAAGGCCATCATCTGGGAGATGGCAGTGAATGAAGGAGGACTGTACATGGAGGTGCCGCCGGGAACGTGTGGCCTGGCGATGTTGAGCTTCGTGAGGTACTTAAAGAGAAAAGGGATAGTCCCTGTTTTGCTTCTGGGTGAGCACCAGGACCTCGGAGTCTTGCGGATGGTGGATCTGTTGTGCATGCTACCCATTTTGGGAGCAGAGAGGATCATGGAGGATGAAGTTGAGAGCTCGTATTATCCCCCATGGGTGTTGCGCTGGAAGAGAAGTGCAAAGGAAGGATCCTTGGTGTTTAAGGAACTGGTGGAGCGAGTGCGAGTGATTTCGATGTTGTCGTGTGATACACTTCGGATTCACGAGCCGGAGCTGAGGGAGAGACCAGTCCCCAAGTGGTCGTTTGTGGCCTACAGCCACTACAGATCCGTGATGGAGTCTGTTGCAGGATTCTTGGAGGACCTGGAGAAAAAGAAAGAGGAGATCACCGACACGCAGAGGGCGGCAAGCTGGAAGAAGGTGGTTGCGAGTGAGACTCGAAGCGGTGTTGTGTGGATCTGCAAGTGTAAGTGGCACTTGCCGACCGACTATGTGGTGAGGTTCAACTTGACGTTGCCTGCCGACATGTGGCAGCAAGCCTTTGGGATCATGGGTGAGAATGTTGGGAAACTCGAGAAGGAGGAAAAGGACCTGAAGCGGATCCTCAAGGCTGCAGCGGAACAGCAAGACCGAGAGTTCGAGGAAGCTGAGCGAAAGCGCAAGCGCATCGCCGACCTGTCAGCTGCCGAGGAAGAAGCTGCTAAGAGAGCAAAGCTGGAAGGCGAAGCGGTTCGCTCGCCTGTGTCAGTTGTACCATCTGAGTTGGATGCAGCAGCTATCGCGCAGATTGCTGAGCGTGTGAAGGCAAGCTTTAGTGTTGCCGATTTGGAGCTGATGTTGGAAGAAAAGAAGAGAAAGGTTGGAGACCAGCCAACTGAGAGGCCTGCGGAGACGCCAGCTGAGCCTAGCCGATCTTCGCAGAATGTGGTGATGGAAACGAGGACGGCTGAGTTGGCGGAGATGAAGGAAGCCGCCAAGGAGCGCCGCGCCAAGTTGATGGAGTCAACTGGAGCTGGCGAGAAGAAGGGCGAAGAGGATGAAGAATGAACTGAGATGCTAAGTGATCTCAGTGGTTGGGTGGGTGAGTGAAACCCGCAGCCATTTTTTTGGAAGCCATGGCCGCGTTGCCGCCATGGAGCGCCCGCGATTTTTCTGGTTAGTGTGAGCCCTTGTTTCAGTGCATGAGAAGTTTGCAAAGAGGAGGCAAAATGATGATGAAACTCAACGAGGGACTCTATAGCCCCTTCTGCAAGGCGTCTGATTGCCACCTCTGAAGACGTTTTTGGCTGATGGTACGCTGGAAGAAGCGAAACTATGAAGCCAATCTTTTCCTGAAGGATCAGCTAGCCGATGCTAGTTGGTGAGTTTGGTGACCTGGAAGATGCGAGACTGAGGAGGAGTACCACGACAAGGTCGAGTGCTGAGTGGGAAACATCTGAAGCTTGCATTAATTCGTTTTCACGTGTTTGTCACCACGAACTCTTGGATTCGTTCCAAGACAACCCTGCCCCAGTGCAGGTGGATGCAAGTTTAATTCGTTTTTCACGTGTTTGGACAACGAACTCTTGGGTTACCAGTGATGTGGACCCAGGACAACCTGCCTGATGGTGGGATCTTGCATGAGTTTTAAGTTTGATGTCAGAGATCGACTGGTGTGTTGTTTGTTTCGTTTGGTGGCGAGTACGCACCAAGGGAATGTGGCCAGGGCATCCCCTTAGTGTTGAAGTGCCGAGCTGGGCTTGGACTTCAGATCTTTGACATGAACCCTCAGCAAAATGCGGGGGGTGGAAGATTGTGGCTGATCAGTGATGTTTTTGTCATGTTTTGGATCAGCTTGTATAGGTTTGTTTTGCTTCGGAGTGATTGGGAATCCGTGTGATCCCATCCTCGATGGTTTATGCCTCGTTGATTTCCAAGGAAATCATACGAGTGTGTTTTTGCCCAATACGCTATTTAAAGTGAGTGTGCAGTGTGTAGGAACTTCGTTCTGAAGCTGAGTTTAAGCTCACAAGAGAGAATTCGTTTAGTTTGTGCACTTCGTGACTTTTGGCTCAAGTGGCTCAAGTGGCTCAAGTGGCTCTGACTGTGAAAAAGAGAGAGTTGTCCGCACTTGTGTGAGAGGTCAGGGTTCGTGCTTTCAAGGGAAAAGGTACCAGAGGGACCTTCGGTTTTTCACGACATGTGACATGAACCACGAGTTTGCATTGCATGAGTTGAGAACTGTGCTTGAACCGTTTGTTTTGTGTTAGCAGAAACAGGCATGGACATAGTATGTTTGGAGCTTGGCTTGAAAGTGTTTCTTGCTTTGAGCTTGACGTGAGATGCTTGGAGTGTGCATGATGAGCAGAGAAGCACTCATTGTGGGGTTTCCTAAGTCGGAGCAACGTATTGCCAATCTTCAGGTCAACGTGCAGCCACCGTTGCATTGTGGGCGGAACGTGCATATCGAAGCCCATCTGCCCGGCGAACTAGCCTCGAAGCTGCCCGCCATCAATGCTTTTGTAAGAGTCAACCGGAGGAAGCGCATGCGCTGGAGCAGCACCAATTTTGTGTGTTAGTTCCATCTGCTCTTGCGTAAGCATTCTGTCAAACATGGCTTGGCCGTGCTTAGAGCGGAGCTGTCATGTAGTTCTTCGATGCTGTTGCTCACTGGCCCACTGGCTGATCACCATGGAGTGCCCCGGGCTGCACCGACAATTGCTTGCTAGGTTGAAGTCCCCACTGGCTGACCACCATGGAGCACGTTCGGCCACCCTTCCTGCTGGAAGGGTTGCCCCTGTCTCGCAGCTTCTCTTGTGATCTTGCGATGGATGACCCACTGTTGAAGGCGTGGCAATCCGGCATTGCTTGGCTTGGTGGCACCGTTGATTGAGGTTCGCGGATATATGCAGATTGACGTTGAGCAAATGTCTACAAGATGGTGGTTTTGACTTTCTGGCAAACATTCGCATTTTGCGATCCCCCTGCACAGCTTGGTGCGGCATGGATGTGCTCTTGGATTATTTCGACGACGTTGAGTACTGAGCGCGCGGGGAACCTAGTAGTTTGGTCGCTTTGGTTTCTTTTGGTTGTTGCTGCTTGTTCGCTGGGTTGTTTGGTGGTTTGGTTGGTGGTGTTGTTCGTCCTTTTTGTTCTTCCTGCTTCTCACGGCGATCTGTTTCAAACCTAGTTGCGAGACCCACAAGAACGGCCTACTGTGCTACTGATGTAGTAAAGAGGCGTCCGCTTTAAAAAAAGCAGCGGGCTGTGAAAAGCAAATGGTGTTTGTCTCCCTGAGGTGCGTTGCCCATCGTTCATTGAGAAGCCCGTGATAGGCCGAGGGGAAGAGAGCTTCCCAGCCGAATCGAGTCATGTGCAAGTGCAATGCAGCAGGCGGAAGGGCAGTCAAATGGGAGCCCACCTGGATTCTTAAATAGCCACAGGACCTGGAACTCGCGGCATAACCTCAGCATGGGCAAGCAAAAGCGCTACACCTGCTCAGCTCAGTTAGCTCTCCGGAACCAGGGCCGAAGATGAAGCAAGCAGTGCGAACCCCCAGGGAAAGAACCCACCTAGTTCACTACTCTTTACATGTTTGAACCGACGGCTGCGGGCAGAAGTTGTCAACCGTGCGCCAGCCGAGCTTGCGTTCCTGTCGCATGTCACTTAGGTGCATGGAACGCGACAGCCCTTTGCTCCAAGCTCGCAGGACTTCTCTAAATAACAAACTCTTCCTTTGGTGCCGCACTCCCGTAGGAGGCCTCACACTCTGTCAAAAAGACTCCCCGATCAATGCCCGAAGGTCAAGGCAAGCCCATGTGATCAGCGATCAGCCAGTCCGGATCACCAATCAACAGCGGCCACACCATGTGCTCCGGGTTGTAGTTTTGCATTGCGATAACCCTTGCATTTTAACATCATGTGCATATCGTCCCGTTGCATTACCTCGCAAGCCCTCTGCAGTAGAAAATAGAGCGTTCGCTCCTGCATGGCTTAACGGTAGATTACAACTTGGAGTTTCCCTGATAACTATAGGTTATCAGCCGTATAGCCTACAATGCTTGCGGATGCGAACCTGGAGAATGCATCACCTGAACTTGTTCCTGCCGAAGAAGCAGCTACAGAACGTACAGGACTACCTCTGCTGCTCCCGGCAACGGGAAGCCGGGCAGGGGCACGAGAGATGCATCTAGGTCAACAGTCGTACCCTCAAGCAGTTAATTTCGCTAACATGTCCATGCATGACGGTCGGAACTAAGGAGTTGCCAGTTAGGAGGGGGGGGGTAAACCATTTTGGGGGTTTGGCGGGGGTTTGAGCCCAGACCCAGGATTGCATGCTTTTCGGATTGGAAAACAGCAAAACACGTCCGGGCCCAGGATTCGGGTTATTGTGAAACCGCGAAACAACGTTGTGTGGAAACGTATCTGCCTGCAAGCTTTGCGAAATTTGAGACGCATGATTCTTGAAATGCCGGGGTTCGTGCTGTACTTGTTCAGCACCACTCGTGTTGGCAGATCGCACAGAGACGTGCGAATACATGGGGCCATTGTGACAGATGGTTGCGAGTTGCTTTCCGAGGAAGCTTGCCGAAGTGGTGCTTGGCTAGATTCCTGGCTGCAGCACGATTTCAGTGATGCACAGTCGAGTAAGACTCCGCGGCAGAGCAAAACGGAGCATGTGCAGTGGAATGTTTTGTCTGCGTGCACGTACAATGAGCAGTTGACTCTGCTGGTGCAACACTTCAAAGGAAATCAAATTCAGCCCTTTTGTACACTGAGCCTGCTCGGCCAAACGTTGTTCCGTGAAGCCGAGTTGCGTGCTGTGGGAGACAGTGACCAGACACTGTTCACAGCCCAGCTTCGGAAGCAGGGGCGTTTGGTGCGAATGCCTAGGGCTTATTTAACCACGGTCTTTCGCAAAGAAATTGTGAGGCATGTCATCAGTCCTGCTTCCCTGAGCCGTTCTCTGCACGTGGAGCCTGTTGCCCCCCAGGCGGCCGGGCTTGGTCCTGGCGCAGGCCAGGTTCCCGCCCTTGCCGCTGTGGGGGGCCCAGGCGGTGCTGAGCCGGCTGATTCAGCCGAGCCTGGCCCTGAGCCACCTGCGCCCGTAGAGCAAGTTGAGCAACTTCCGGGTAGGACCAGCCTGCAAGAGATCCTGCTTGCTCAGCTGGGGTACAGGCTGTCCAGCACGGAGGACATGGATGAGACCCTCCAATTGACTCGCAGAATTCTGTTCGACATGCTGCGTAGTCTGTCGCAGCGGTTCGTCAACGAGCCAGGGTGTAGCAGTGTGCGGCGTGCCAGGTACCTGTCGGCAGATGCATCGCCGCAGGGAGGGCACGACTACCTGTGCATCCTGGAGGAGATTGCATCGCGCTCCAGCAGCTGGGTGCCGGATGCTGAGGAAGGGCAGTTTAATCCCTTCAAGGGCTTCGATCAATGCGTGCGTGCCTTGCCCTGCCAGACACTGGCACGAGGCCAGACGAAGGTGCCCATGAAAGTGGCCTGCCTGTTGAATTCCATCCTGATGGAACACGGCGTGGACAAGTTGCAGCACTACCGGCAGGAAGTCCGGGGCTGGGTGTCTGACCAAGGCACGGAGCGGGCCATCTCCAAGTATCCCCTAAGAGATGGCCTTGCTGTGCTCGGGAAGCCGCTGCGCCTGGACATGGAAGGACATGACTTGCCCGCAGACGTTGTGGGTCGCGGGGGTGAGGCCTCGCGGCCCTTCTTTCACTCGTCCCTGGACGTTTCTGGCCTGATGCACGTAGTCTACAATGCCCTGGAGGCAGCTGTGACCGGACAGAGGCACTGGCCAAAGTTCCAGAAACAGTTGCGGGCAATTTGCAAGCTGTGCGGAGAAAAGAGCTACCAAGAGGTGGTGGCCAACCAAATGCTCCGCGCAGCAGGTGCATCGGCCCTTGACATCCAGATGTTGTGTGCCTTCAATGCCAAGCATCTGGACTGGCACTGGGAGACCTTGGAGACAGTTTTGGCTCAGTGGTCCCCTCTGAGACCGGTGCTGCAGCAGTATTTCAAGGCGGACATGCTTGAGGCCACAGATTCCGGCTTGGCGCTTTTGGTGTCCCAAGCTCTGCAGAGCCCGTGGCACGGACTCATGCTTGAATGGTTGCGTGGCCTGACAGAGGCAGTGGGCAAGGAAACACGATGGATGGAAGGCTGCTACTGCCACGAGGCCGTGCTCGTCGGCACCGGGAGCAGGTGGAAGCGTAGACACCAGATGCTTGGAGCAACTGGTGCGGTCACCTGCCCTTGGAAAGGCAAGTGGTTGCCATCCTTTGCTTTGGGCCACCGTGAAGCCATGACGCGTTCTCTGGACCTCGCCGGCAGCAGTGAGTACCACAGAGCGTTGCTGAATGGAAGATGCGGCGGCAATTGCAGACATGGATGTGGTGGTTAAACGGGCACTCGCCCACGCCCTCCACGACAAGCTTGCTTATTTGGAGGCCTTGCCTTACAAGCTCGCGGGTGCTTTTGGTGAGTACTGTGGCTCTTGCTTGCAGAGAGCCAAGAAGTGTGTGCGGGAATGTTTGCAAGAGTTCGAAGAGGCTGGCCGGGCAGAACTGCACCCCACCACATTGGAGTTGTTGACGGGAAGAAGCCCAGTGGGGCAACAGCTACGTGCTTTTGCTAAGGACCCCGAGCGGTCACTCCACAAGTACCCCCCGATGCCTTTGTGGCCATCCAGGAATTGAGCCTGGTGCCACTGGTCGAGCGACGAATCGAGGGGGAGCACGCGCAGGTTAAGCTTGCGGCCCAGCGTGGCTTCAGATGGGCCGGGCCGGCCATGGTTTGTGCGCGGAAGCGCAGACATCAGGTGCTGGCTATGCTGGAGAATCCCTCGCTGCTGCAATGGGTCTGTCAAAACTGGAGGGCCCGGGACATTTTCCAGAGAGTTCTGGCCCACAAGTGCCTGCCGACAACGGTCAATCTCATGGGCCGGTCCGAGAGATATGCTCGCGTGTATGGGTACGCGGTGGATGACCACTTCAGAGATGTTGAGAAGATGCAGCAGGCAGCCCGCGGCCGGGCTGCCGAGCTGAAGGCTTTACACCCTCCTCCGCAAGCAGCCTCCCACGACAGCAAGCAGATTGTAGGGTTCTTCAAGGCGCATCTGCGCCCAGGCAGCATCTGCAGCATGCCTGCAGCCATGGTGCGAGCATGTGACCCTGGCCGTGGCCCTCACCCACAGCTCTGCGCGCTTAGCACAGCAGACATCGCCCGAGCCTTCTGTGCCAGCTCTCGGTCCGTGATTGCCGGGATCATTTGTTCTTCTCTGTCGTGGACCCGAGACCAGAGGACAAATTTCAGATGCAGGCCTCAGCCACAGCGAGTCGGCCCAGGACACAGTTGAGTGTTGACATGCTGCCGTGGACCGAGTGGGCCTCTGACAATTCCATGTGTGCTTCCACTCGCACCGCTCGCGCTGAACCGAAGACATTGGACGCGGCTGCGTTCTGCACTCCGGATTCCTTCGTGGACGTGGCGAACCAATGTTTGGTGTGGCAGTGTCTGCCAGTGGGTCTGCATGTGGAGCTTCCTGCTCTGGAAGCTGCAGTAACAGATGCCCCACTTCCACTTCCCTTCTTCGTGGACGACGAGGACATGTTGCAGGGTCTGCTGAATGCGGAGAGTGGTGGAAAATGGGTGTGTGTGTTTTGGGGCTTTTTTAGGGCGTTAGGGGAAAAAAGTTGGGTGTTTGCGGGACTGGGATTTTCGGGTTTAGACCCCCAAAGAGTAGGCTTTCCCTGAAGTACCCACGGACATGTTGTTTGTGCAAGAGTGTTTTGCTGTGACGGCGCATGTTGTTTTTGTGATTGGCCGCAGCAAGCCAGTAGTCAGCGTAGCATGCCATGGCGGGAAACTTGGCACTTTGCACGCCGGGACATCGGAGACCGCTGAGAAGAGATCGGCGATGTATTGGGCTGGTCAGAAACCCATATCCGATGATGGATTCCTGTAGGTTGGTCACTGAGAGTTGGGGTGCCGTGCAGCCCGGGAGAGTAGAGAGGTCAAGGAGTTCGAGAGCTCTCGCAATTTTGAGACAAACCGGGATGATGGGGTCGTATATTTGCAGATATGCAGCAGGGAAAGTGTCCGGCAGGTAGAGCAACTGATTTGCAACCTGCAGGAGGTGTTCAGGATCAGTCAATCCGTCTGTGGGCTGCTTTGGCAGGCCCTTGCAGATGGACTGCCGCCAGGACGTTCTGTGAAACCGCCAGCGCTTAGAGGGCGCACGACCCGACTGGTCGGCTCGGCCGGGGACGCGGGTTTTGATGCGATGCTGCGAGGCTCAGGTGGCACGGCCGCGGTGCGGGAAGAGCTGTGTGACCTGCGACTTCGGTCCGGGGATGACTGTCCTGACCGACAATGCGGGGTGCTGGGCAAGGACCTCTGTTTTTCGAGGAGGCATTGCCGCCTTGGACAGGGAGTGGTGGGCCCTGTGGAAGGGGCGGTCACCTTGTCATCTCCAGCTCAGACGTCCAGACTCCTCGTCAATGGCCGATTCCGTGATTTCTCCAGTACGGACAGGGAGCAGCTGCAGCCCATTTAGGGACGTGCTATGCGGCCGGCCCTGTGCTCGAAGGGTGCTTCCTTTGCTTTGGCTTTGCCCTTCGTAGGCAGGGCCAGCGGCTGTGTGCTGTCGAAGAGGGCTCCAGGTACAAGGACGCGCCATCACCAGGCTTGGCCCACGGCTTGGCATCCTGGAAGGGCGCGCAGCGTACTGCATGAGGTAAAGGTTCAAGTTTGAACCCTCGGTGTTGCAATTGTGACAAGGTCCCCCGACAGTTGGCCGATCAAAAGAGGGGCACGGCTGATGGAAGAGAGACACACCCACGGGGCAGTGCAGACAAGCCATCAGTGCAAACCAATATTTCCCCCTCCCCGTGCACAGCCGCGTTCCTCCGCAAGTGCGGACGTCCTCGCGCCAATTTTGGCATGAAGGCCTAGAGCGTCAGGAACGTGATTTTGCTTCTGGCAGACCGACTGCATTTTGCGAACCGCGCTCTGTGCTCCCTCCAACACAGCGCGAGTCAAGCCACAACGGGTCTACTTCGACCTCTTCGTGTTCTGAGAGAGGGATGTTTCACCTTAGGATTGGATTGCTTCCGTTTTGCTTTTCTCTTGTGTGTTGTGTGTTGTTCTGTGCTGTTTGGCTGCTTCCGGTAGTCATGGCCGTCTCACCTCGTCGCAATAGACCGGCCCACTGTGCTGCTGATGTGGTAAAGGGGCGTCCGCGATAAAAAAAGACTCCAAAGGCCTCGCGAAGCTCCGCCCAGACCTCACCCAGAAGGGCAGAAAGCTCGCAGCATCGGATTGGCTAGAAAGAAGAAAGCAGACCTAATCTCAACCCAATTGGCCGAATAAATGCCGCGTTGAGCCCTGAATAAAGGTGCAACCGCCAGCTTGGCCCCAGAAGGTGCCGACGGGCTGATGGTGCGCATCCATGCTACCAATTTACTGAAGGCTACTTGGTGGATTTGTGAAGCTTTTGGAGGTTCCTTGGCCGGTCTATTCTCCTTTTTTCGGATCTTTAATGCACTGCGGAATGCAGCGCGGGTGCTCTTTGCGACATGTGCTTTCCAGGTGCCACCGTGTTTTCCGGTTTCCGCTTTCAAGCATGTCGCCTTTGGGTGCATCTTATGTCGCGTCTTCCCACATTGCTAAGATCAGGAGACTGTTGCGATGGGTTCGGGTTTCGAGGGGGAAGCGGAGAAGGAGGAGCTCCTGTGGCTGGCGCCGGTCGCACTGGGGTTGTGCACGTGGCTGCTCCGGCTGCGTTGGCAGCGATCGAGCTTACTGGGATGCGAGCGGCCAAGTTGATGGATTTTCCTCCAGACGGGGCCCGGCTTTGCCAGCGGCGCGCTTGTTGCATTTTGCGCGAGCGTTTGTGAAGCCTTCCAGAGGGGGCGAGCTGCGCAGTGCGTGGCCTATGGCTGCACGGACACGCTGTGCGAGCTGAGCGGTTGGATTGTGGGTCCGTGGGAAATGTGTGCCTTTTTGGAGCTGTGGGCTCCCGGCGTAGCTTTGCTAAACTGCGTTATGGCAGTGCACAGAAACGGCCTTGTGCGAGTGCTGTGAGTAGGCGGCAATTTGCATGAGGTCTTGCAAGCCTTAAAGAAGCCTATCTTGTGTGAGTTTGGGGCTTTGTTTGTGGGCCCAGAAAGGGGGTGCGTTTGGGACCACAAAATAAGCGCTTTTGAGGGTGCGTCGGAGGTCTTGGAGGCCTTAAGAGCTATCTTGCACTAGTTTGGGGGAAGGGGGTGTGTTCGGGACCCACAAAAAAGGAGCGGTGCGTCTGAGGTCTTGGAGGCCTATCTTGAGCGTCTCTGTGATTTCCTGTCGGTTTTTCTCCCTGGTAACTTGGAATGCTGTTTGGAGTGTGTGAGGCTCTGAGAGGCTTAGTAGCAGCTTGCATTCCAGTTTTGTTTTTCCGCTGTATGAGGGTTGCTGCTGCAGCTGGGATTTCACGGTCATGTCAGGTTGTCAGTTCTGTGTCTGGGTCAGGGTCTAGTGAGGTCTGCCAGCCATGTCTGCTTTGCTGGATGAGGCTTCTTACTCGATGGCAGGTTTGGGCGCGATTGAAGATGCCGCGCACATGCCGGAAGCCTTTCCGCCCGTGCCTCCGCTCCTCCGGGGCACCTGCTGTTGATATGCCAAGTCTTCTTCTTCAGTATCGCGTTCCGATGGAGGTCCAGGAGGTTCTTGCGGCGTATTAGCCGGCGGAGTTTGCCATGGTTGCGATCTCCTTGCAGGCCTTAGATGCTTTCATGGACTCTCTTCCGCAGCCTCATGACTGTCCTCTGCCCTTGCTTCAGGGTCGCGTTGGGTTGCTGTGGCACCGTCTTTGGGGAGTAATGCAAGTGATGGGGGCTGGGTGGAGCTCTTTCCTAAGAAGCTGGGTGCTGATGAGGTCCGACGTGTGGTGGAGGCCTTTGAGGCGAAGTTTCCCCGCTCGCCTCTTGGCTCGAAGCAGCTACGGGATCGTGAGTGGAAGCGGGTACCTGGAAACTCAGGCTTACTGAGGCTATGTGGCCTGCTCTACGATGAGATTCCTCAGCGAAACGTGCCTCTACAGTCTTTGGGCAAGCGTGCGCTTCAGGGTTTTCTCGAAGTCCACGCTGTGTCTATGGCTCTTTGTGGGGGAGCACATCTTCACACACTCCGGGAATTTCTATGAGCCTGCCGCTGGCTTGAGAGCTCCGAATGGGGCGGAGGCTATGGCCGCAGATCAGAAGTTGTGGCAGAGCATTGCTCGCTTGTTCAATCGTGAAGGTTGGAGCATGGATAATGCCATCCACGAGGTTTCTGTGGCAAGAGCGGATATGCAGCAGGCTCTTTTGATGCCCCGCCCTCTGCCGCCCAGTTGGATGATGTGTGGCGAGGTCGCCGGGGGGGTGGTAAGCCGATCGGGAAGTCCAGAGAGATCACGCTCCAGGGTTGGCGTCGTGGTCCTGGTACTGAAGAATGGCGAGCGCAGGCAGCTGTGTGGTGACTTTCAGTTTGGCAAGTGCACGCGGGCACATTGCAAGTTTGATCATCTCTGCGCAATCATGCCGTCGGCGGGAAAACCGTGCCTGGCAGCTCACTGTGCCGAGGACCACCGTGCTACGCCACATTGAAGGTCTGGGGGGGTGTCGGACTCTGTGGTTGGAGTGAATGGGGATTCGATGTCACGTGGGCTGCCGCCCCCCTGTGCTGGGTCCTCTCGGGCCCCTGTGTTGTCTGTTCCGGATGTTCCGGTGCAGGCCCCATCAACCATTGTGTCGGTTGCTTCAGATTCCGACGAGGGAGGAGCTGAGTGTGTCGGTCAGGCCGTGACGCCGGTTGCTTCTTCGTCAGCTGCGAGCAAGGCTGGTGATGCCAGACAGTTTCGCTGCAGGCCTTGCAACCTAGTGAGCCTCAGCTTTCGTTGCCGTGTGCCCCGTTTTTTTCAAAAGGTCTCGACTTAGGATTAGGGAGTACCTTTTGTTTGAGTAGGCTGGCGGCTAGAATGCAAAGGTTCAGAACGAAGAGATCCATTGAGAAAGCAGAGATCGGTAAGCTGTATGCAGTGCTTGGAAGCTACTTGAGAAATTCGGCCATTGAAGGTTTTGAGAAGTGTCACGACGTCAGATGGATATGAAGTATGGAGAAAACTTCATTGCGAATTGGAGCCAAACAGCAGAAGCAGGAGCTTGGCAATGGCTCAAGCATTGGTTGGATTCCCAGCCATGTCGAAAGGAGCATCGCTAATGGACTATGTCCTGACGTTCGAGAAGTTGGTGAACGAGTACGAACGGTTGAGCGGAGTGAAGTACGACCAGAACTTGATGACCGGAAAGATCATGAAAGGAATCCCTCAGGAGTTGAGGAGACATCTGGATGGTCGACATGAATGACAAAACAACCTATGCAGAAATGAGAGCACGGTTGCTGCAGTACGAGCAAAGCAGCCGGACTTGGTCTGCAGAGAACATATTGTCTTCGTTGGCAGTCGCGAATTCGCAGCAGTCGAACAAGAACTCGAGTTATCAGGGACCGATCCCGACTGAGATTGATCGAGTGTACTACGGAAATTCTGGAAGAGGTGGAAAAGGAAAGGATCGTGACAAAGGAAAAGGAAAAGGCAAAGATCGAGAAAAAGGCAAAGGAAAAGGAAAGCATGGCAAAGGTCGAGGATTCGGAAAAGGACGCGGAAAAGGAAAAGGAAGAGGCCGTGGCAAAGGACGAGGAAAGTATGGAAGCAAAGGCGTCAGGCAGGTTGGAAAAGGCTACGGAGACTCGAAAGGAAAAGGAAAAGAATCAACTTGCTACATATGCGGAAGGCCAGGACATTTTGCAGCTGAGTGCTGGCAGAAGTCGAGCAAAGGAAAAGGAAAAGTTGGAAAAGGAAAAGTGAGGCAAGTGCAAGCTGGAGATTGGTATGAAGACGATGGATGGAACTCGAGCGCTTGGAGTTGGGAAAAGGAAGACCGAAGCGAAGATAACAAACATTTCACTTTTCATGCCCGACTGTATATAGGCTCAAGCACCGCCCCTCGTGGAGCGCCGCGAGTGAAGGTAAAAGTGTGCCGAGAACCTGTGTTCTAGAAAGGTTGAGATTAGCCTTTAAACTTTTATGGTAGCGGAGCTGTTGGCAACGGCCAGCAGCTGAAGAAGCAGATCCAGGGAAAGAAGGTAAGCCCAGCCAGAGGGCTGGCAGCCAGCTAGCGAGCTGGAAGGAAGAGAAGGAAAAGCAGGAGTTAAGGTTTCTCAACTACGCCCTGCGAAAGGAGAAGTTCGTTTTCCGGTGGACGTTATCACCGGAGGAAATTCGGAAAGAAGTCAAGAGGACAGCAAGAGTTAAGGTTCATTAACTACGCCTTGCTGAAGCTGAAGAAAACAGGAGTTAAGGTTCATTAACTACGCCCTGTTGGATCAGTAGAGAGAAGGAGGTGAAGAAGAGAGAGCCTTGAGTCTGGACGACTTGCCTAGATCGTCAGAACAATGGCGGAACAGCAAAGAAACTTTGAAGCAATGTTGGCTGGCATTGGCCAGGCCACCGAAGCTCTAGGAAGAGTTGCGAGCCAA